CTCTCTTAGTATATCACCTCCTTCACTCCCCTCTAACACATGCTATACGATGAGCATTGACGTACAGAGATGAAGAAGTTGAACTACAGGCTTTAGTTCTAACATGAACAGCAACATAGCCCAGCCAACCACGCCTGCCACCGCAGAACCAGAGATGAGCGCCGGAGCAAAGATGGTTGTGAATCTGCTCTGGACCATTTGCTATCCAATCACCTTGGTACTCTGGTACATTTGCCTCGCCATGCTGTTCGTCCTCAAGACGCTCTACCTCCCAATTCCATTTCTCCTGCAACCGCTCGTGCACTTGGCTCGCTTCACGCTGGCGGTTGCCGCGCTACCATTTCAGGTCGCGGCTCGCTTCGAGGTGAGTGGTGTGGACAAAGCGAAAAGGATCGCACGATCAGCTAACATTCTAGTCTGTAGACCCTCTACATTTACCTAGGCGTGGCGGCTATTATCGGGCTCCTGGGAGGTCTCCTTGTCGCCGCCATCTACAGCTTTCTGTACAACCTCTTTGAATTCGAAACACCCCCCGAACCAGCGAGGCTCAGAACTGCCAAGGAATATCGCCACGACAAGCAGAAGAAGCAGAAGATGGAGTTCGAACAGCCCTCAAGACTTTCACCTCGTCTTCTATCGCCTGCTTCGTTGCCTTCGGGCTATGGCAGCTTGTCTGATGGCGCGAGAAATGGAAATGGAATGAGTCTTTTTGCGACTGCTATTATGGAGGAGGAAGATTCTGACTTTTAGTCTGCTTACTTTACTCGGGAGTGTCTCTGAGCACGAAGTTCCAACGCCTATCTATGAATTGCCCTTTCAGCAGTTCGAAAATGCTCTTGCGACATCTGTTGATCGTGATTTGCATATCACGAAGATCACAAGAAGCACAAGTATAATGTTTCAAGAATATCCAGGAATGTCAATTGACGAAGCAGCTCTGACGGAGGCTGTTACGAAATCCGTTCCTGGGCCGTACGGAGACGTGATTTCATAGCGATCACATCCTCGGACTTTGATCAAGGACGTGGAAGCGCTGGCATCGGAACTCGATACTAGGCAAGAGAGAGCAACGGGTCACGTTGCGGAGATTCAGAATGGAGTGATACGGGCGAAGGGTGTGGGTTCTGAGAGGACTTTGCCGAATGAGAGGGCGATGAGGAAAGGGAGGCTGAGGCCACAGATTCTTGTCGTAGATTCTAAACACTTTGATGATCAAGAACTCAAACCTCCCTCCTCTTAATCCAAACCCTAGTCACCTCATCCGTCCCATAAACGCCCGTAGCCTTCCGATGCTTTGGAATCTTCCATTTCCTCCCCTCCCCTCCCGCCGGTTCAATCTCCCACATCGAGATGATCGCCGCAGTGAAAAGCAAAGATTCCTTGAGAGCGAAAGCTCGTCCTTTACACATACTCGCTCCTCCACCTGCCACAAGAAGATCGATTAGCAGAAATTCCTCAAAAAATAATAATCTTTATTCGATAGGTAGACTCACCGTAAGGTCTAATACTGCCCATATCCGCCGTCACCTTCTTAGTCTCCTCATCATATTTGATATGTCGATCCGCTCTGAAAACCATCGGATCCTCCCAAAACTTCGGATCAGTATTATGCAAATCATGAGCGGCGTGCGCATAATCTCCTTTCCGCAAAAGCCAAGGCTGAGAGTCCTTTTCTCGGGACTGGAGGACGAAATCTTGTTTTACGATTTTCAAGGACCATGATGCTGTGTCTACTCGAAGACATTCTACGTAAGTACTTTTCAGTAATGGGCAGTTATTGACGAGACCGTCGACGTCGATGTTGGAGATTCGGGGTGGGGAGGTGATTGGGAGGGAGGCAGAGTCGTCTTTTACGATTGTGATGTAAGGCGAGATTTCGGAGCGGAGGTTGGTGAGGAGGTCGGGGTCGGCGTAGATGCGGTTGATCATCCAGAAGACTAAAGTGTTCGAGTTTGCGTTTGCCGCCCACATGAGTGCGTGCTCCGTTGCTGCTCGGGCTCGGATACTCCAGTTGTGTTTTTGATAGACTTGGATACGAGCTTTTTCTAAGGCTCCGATATCGTGGAGAGAAGTCCATTTTGTGTCTGTAGGCTCGCCTTTGGACCATTTCTCGAGCTGTTCGTGGTAGGCCATACATTTCTCAACGTTCTTTTTCCGGGCGATGTGAGCTCTGGTGAGAGCTGGGATGGGGAACCATCGTGGTAAGCCTGTAGCGAGTAGGAGGAAGCCGCGGTCGAGTGTCCAGATCCCGTCGAAGAAATCCGGAAAGTTGTTTAGGAAGTCTGTGCCCATGATCGAGGGGTTGGCTGTGAAAGCACAGAAGTCGCGGATGAGTTCTAAAAGATTGGCTTCGACCATTTTCTGACCATTTCGCTCGATGACATCGACGTTCGCAACCTTTTCCCACGGCATTTGATCAACAGGACTCTCCATGTATGTGACGAGGTTATTAATGCTCTCCTTGGTCAATTGTGCCGTTCGGTCCACCATGTGCTTGAGACCTGGTTCCACCAAAATGTGTTTGTAACACGCTGCGACGTCGGCGAGACCTTTGTGGTACTTGTCGAGTTCTTTGGGCGGAAAGCCAAATACCTTGATCATCAGCGATGTTCCAACGTCCTCGGAGTCTGCATTGCTGGGTTTCTGGTTAAGCAGTGCTGTTGCAAGGCCGGGGGTGTACATGATGTTGTGCCGGGAGCCGCCGAAGTTCACGACAAATATGCCGTTGCGGTAGATGCTCCTCAATTTCTTGACAAAGCCGTCCGCGTCGAGTGCCATGTTGGGTATGTGGCCGAGGATTGGAAGCCAGTACGGCACGCTGGGTGGTGTTTTGAGGCCATCTTGGTTGATCGTCTTGGAAGTGCTGTTGGTGAGACTGGTGAGGCGAGTGATTGATATGGTGATGGCGAGAAAGAGAGTCAAAGCTATTGTTGGATTGGCCTTGAAGTATGTGATCCAGCTTGTGGACACGGAAGACCGGTCATCTTGTGCGATGCCTTCAGCCATGCCAGATCAGTGTAGTAGCACTGCAGATCTGCCGCCGCCGATGGGATGTCCAGTCTTCGGACGGCGTAAGAAGAGGGTGAGATCTGGTCACAGTTCTCTCTTTGGATGGCTTGAATGCAGTCTTCAGTTCAGCAGCAGTTCTGTCTCGCCGGATGTTCCGCCTCCAATGTCCGGGATCATTCAGATGGCTGCCGCAATGTCCTCCATTTTCAGATCGAGCAGCGTGCTCTGGCTCATCAGCATACGAACTCCGTTAACGTTGCACGATTGGCGCTAGTACGAATACGACGACATGGCCAGGGATAGGCGATATTAAGATGGGGTCAAATGCATATCATGTGATTCATGTCAGGATGCATACATACGAGAACCGCATTGTCGTTGGAAAGAACGTTCGGTGCAAGAAGGCGGAGGAGGACCAGTAGAATATCGGACACGACTCCGGGAAGCACATTCGGATGGCCTGAAAAAGCATCTCAATGCACTCGTCATTATCACGAGACTTTTCGTGTTCTACTGTGCTTTGCAGGAAGGTTGAGAATGCCAAGACCTGGGAAACCCCACTACGAATTTGCTAGCAAATCGACCATTTCTTCCTATTCTTTAGCAATATAGCCCTAAATACGAGAAAATATATATTATTAGTATAGCCGTTAAATATGTAGTCCGAGGTATTATTATTAGTATTATTCTAGCTCTTCTACGCCGCCCGCGCCCTTCCTATCGCCCTACCTACCTCTACCGCTCGACTCGCTAAAGAATACTTCGATAGCGGATACGATATAATCGACGTTATATTAAAGATAGGTACGAGCTAGTCGACTATATATCGCTAGAAGTTCTATTATAATTAGTTTAGTAAGGTATTCTTACCGTTAGAGCGGTTTAAACCGAGTTATAAAAGGAAGATAATAAAGGAGATAGAAATCTACCTCCTTAAGTACCTCTTAAAGCGACCTAAGGCGTACCTTAAAGAGATATATATAGCGTTATTCGATCGCTTTAAGATTAAGGTAGATCCGGCTATAGTATAGCATTATTTATATAGGATCGGATAGATAAGGAAGGCCTCTCGGAAGGTCGCGAAGGAGCGTAATCCGATAGCAAGAGCCGCCTAGTATACTAGGAGCTAGAAATAGCCTATCGACAAGTTAGTATTTATCGATAAGACAGCTTCTAATAAGAAGAGTAGATACCGTAAGTTTAGATAGTCTCTGAAGGGGATTAATTGCTACGACTATTAGTATACGCAACGGTAAGAGCGATTCTTAGTACTTCTAGCGCTTACAATTAATAGATACTTGCCCTATACCCTCTATATCTAAGGCGCTATTAATTAGGTTACCTTTAACGACTAGATTAAGAATAAAGTGCTACCGCTTCTTAATAGAAGTATAATTATTATAATAGATAACGCTTTAATCTACTATAGCGAGAAGGTCGAGTCGATAATCCGGTTAGCTAGCTATACTCTTAAGTACTTGCCGCTATACTCTCCTAATTTAAACCTAATTAAACAGACCTTCGTATTACTAAAGAAATAGCTTAAGAAGAACAAAGACCTTATAGCCGACTTCGAGTCCTTCTAAGACTTCCTTATATAGGCTCTAGACTATATTAGAAAGATAAATATAAGAGGCTTATTTAAGTATAGCGGATACAACGTTTAAGGCTTTAAAGAAGATAAAGCCGAGCTTACTAGTAATCTCTAGTCGCTTCGTATTTAGCTACTATAATATCGATAATATGTCTTAGTATCTATAGGATATTAAGATAATATGCATCTAAAGCTCCGCTACGATTTTTATATATATAGCTAGTATAGCATTAGCGTAGCAAAATTAATAATATAATAGTACGTACTACTAAGCCCTACGCTTTTACTTCCGGAAAGCTCTCTCGAGGCAACGACGACAATAGCGGTCTACGTAACGGAGCAAATAACAAGCTATTAAATTCGAAGATTGTAAGTAAACGCCTAGCTAACCTAAACTAATAAGAACAGCCGTCGCTCCGTTACGTATATCGTTATTATCTTACTCTCTCTCGGCAAGCTTTTCCTTCTAAAAGCGCTTTAGACAGTTACGCAACGTACCTAGGTCGCCTTTAAAGAAGCTAAGCTCCTTCTACTCTCTTAAAGGAAGTTAATATAACTAGTTATAGTTATATCGTTTAGTTACAAAGTGTGCTTCTATCTTTAAGAGCTGTTCTTTATCTTCCGGCTCTTTCTATTTATGCTATGTCGCTGCCTATATAAAGAACTGTCTAAGTAGACTTCTTAGCGGTATATTAAGCTGCTAAGCAACCTGCTTTAGAACAGGCGAGTCTTATTGTATAGGCCGAGCTTCTTACTAAGCTTCTTGCTAAGCGGTAGGAGCGCCTAGTTACTAGTTAATTAAGGTAAATATAGTCTCGAAGAGCTTTATATAGTTAATAGCCGGCGGCGCTAAATATACTAGCGTAGAGCGTAACCTTGCTAGAGTCTGTAATTAGAAGGGCTCCTTTATAGCAGCAAGTAGACTATAAGGCTTCTAAGACTGCTGTTTCTCCTTATATACCTGTATCTTCGCGAATATACTACACAGTAGCTTCCGAAGCGTTATACCCTCTTCCTTTATAGTAAGGGCGTATAACTATAGCTTTGTAGCCTTACTATAGAACTAGTAATAATAGCGCTTAATATCTAGTAGTCCTTTAGGTCGATAGTAGTAGTTATTATAGTTCTCGTAGCTAGGGAGTGTATATATATAGCTAGCAAGAAGCTTAGTAGTATAGTTGCCTCGTTTCTACTCCTTAGCAATAAAGGCAAGACTATCGATAGCCTACTAGTCGTTTAGCTTCAATTTACTAACTTTAAGAATAGCTCTAGCTCTAGCGTCCTTAGCGGTAGTCTTAAACTCGATATTAATCTTAATCTTGTCTCTACTATCGTTGTTTAGCTCTACGGCGTAGTCGAGAGCCTTATTATAATCGTCCGCTATAGAAGAATTAGAAATAGGCGTAGAAACAGGCATAGAGGCATCTTACCTTTCTTCTAACTCTGCTTAAACTAGTTACCCTTCGCTACTTTAGCGGCGGATACGATTAATACACAATTACCGATATATAGTTGCTTCTTCTGCGCTTCTTTATTAGCCTAATAGTTGTAAGAAGGGTTATATTAGTAGGTAGATAGGGTAGTAGTAGGTATAAGTAGTATTCGATAAGGAGCTAGAAGAAGAGGGAGGAAGGCAGGCAAGTTAGCCTATTGCTAAGCGCTAAGCCCTGCCTAAGGCACTAAGACCCTAGCTTTACTTAGCCTAGTTATACACTAATCACGTATAGCCTCTTTAGCCCTAATATACGCTTCCCTTCTAAAGGCCGCGCCCTCGTAGCCTGTCTATATTCTACGACCTCTATTGCCGCTAACTTAGCAAGTCTAATAAGCTACTTAGCCCGCGCTAAATTAAACACTTAACTACCTAATTATGTAACTATATCAAACCTTACCTCTAATATAGTATAATATGCAACTCTAACTACGCTATCCCTATATATAATAAACTATAAAGTAATATATATTTATAAGAATTAAGGGCCTTCGACTAATTATAATACGAGCGCGTCTTCCCTACTATAATAGGTAGACGTACGAGGTATTGCAGCCCTACCTCCGCTCTAAGTAATGTCGTACCGAGTTCTTTGCGTCTACTCTTAAAAGACCTAGAAATGTCCGCTCCGAGGGTTTGTCCGTTCCGAGGGTTGTTCTTATTATTACGAGGACTATTATTTACTATCGTAGTTTTACTAGCCCTAATTAGTTAGGTTTAGCAGCCTTTAAGTATTAACTAATTATATCTTTTCAAAAAACTTAGTTCTTCTAGTTTCTATAGGTAAAGGCTATTATAAGTGCAATAGTTAAGGTTCGCTTCGCTTAAAGGGTCGGAAAGATCGAGGAGTAACCTATTATCCGCAAGATCGACCCCGGCTAGCTTAGCTCTATAGTTTTGCCCTTAGTTAGTTAGTCTATAGAGCTACTTAATCTTTTAAGCCTTAATATTTTGACTTAGCCTTAAAGTTTTAATATAGGTAAGGTTAATAATAGTAGCAAGTAGGTAATATTAATAATAGCGGCGCTAGCTGTCTTAGCGCTAACTTTACTTTGCTTCTAGTTTCCTTCTTCGACTAATAATAATATTAGTAATACCGTTACTAATATAGTCGTATCGGCTTCCTTCTTCGAATAACAACACACTCCGTAACACCGTTACTAATATAGCCGCGCTAGCCGCCGGCATACTGCTAGCTCGTAGCGCGATACTATTATCTTCGATAGGATAAGGGAATAAGAGGGGGCGCTAAGAGAAGGGTCTTATAGGGTACGCTAGTAAAGAGGTAGATTCTATAAAAGAGAATGCGATTAGTTAACGCGCTATAGCGCGCTAGTTAGCACTCGGTACGCGTTTACTATAGTAGTATAGTTTTATTGTCTTTTATTACTAACAATTGCTTGCCTCTAATTAGTTAGCTTATAGCACCCTAGGGGTAGCATTGTCCCTAGGCGACATTATAGGCCCTTAGCCTTCTTCTTGTTCTTTATACTAGTCTAATACTTATCTAACAACTTAGTAAAGGACGGAAACCAAAACTACTACTACTACTAGCAGTAATAGTATAGGCTACCGAGGGTAACATAACCTATAGCAATATAGGCAGCTATATTTAGCATAATAGGATAATAAGACGGTTGCTTAGGCTAATAACTAGAGCCCTGCAATATAGGCATTGTGGAAGTGTGACATAAATAATATACTATACGAGGTTAATAATCTATCTACTCTGTAGAAGGAGGCCTCTTATATAGGCTTAAAACTAGCCTATAGGTGTAGGGCCGGTTACTAGCTAATATCCCTCCCTTTCTTCGTGTCTAACTAGATACGCTTTATATTGCACGCTTAAAACAAACATATATACATCCTTAGCGTTCTTAGCTAAGGCTATTTTCAGAACTCCGCAATAACACCCCCGGGGTAGTATTAATCCTAGATACTATAATTATGCAAAAACAACTTCCTAAGCAATACTATACAGACCTACTATTGCTTTAACGCGCCGTAATCCTTACTAGCAATAACCTTATCTGCTAGTCGGCTCTCGAAATCTCCTCCGTATACGTTAAAGCTGTTAGTACCGAAGTACTATCCCTCGTAGTAAGCTTAATTAACGAGGAGGTTAGCAGCCTTTTCCGTCGTAGCATTCTCCTAATTATATAGATATTCCTTAAGTCCCTTATTATTAAGCTAGAGGATCTGTTTAACTTCGTTCTAAACAACGTAACTTAACTAAGGAATCCTACTAACTAGAGCGTCGGAGATGTAGCCGAGGCCTTCGACTAAGATCGCCGTAGGGAAAGCGAATAGTACGAAGGAGTTAGAGGCCGGGAGGGCGGTTAGATTGCGGTACGCTTTAGCAACCTAAGAGACTATTAAGTTCTCGTAACCCTTAACCTTAGTGCTATTAATAACGCGAGAGTAGCCTAGGTTAATTAACATACGGTTGCTCTCGGTCTTTAGATTACTATATAGTAGGTATAGTATCTAAATAGAGACCTCGCACTCCTTTAGAGGGTTAAGGATCTATTCCGCCTTGCGCCCCTTACTATTAGGCTAACTATCGAATATATAGTCGAGGTCGTCGTCGGTAAGGTACTTATTAGTAAGCTTACCGATCTTACCTAGTAGGACTAGGCTACGAGCCTTAAGCTTCTTAACCTAGTTCGCAAAGACCTCGGGCTAATGTATGCCTTCGACAATAGTAGAGTAGCTAGTCTTATCCTTAGATATAAGGCAGACCTTAATGCGTAGGTAACTAGTACCCTCGCCTACTACGAGCTTAACTATATCTTATCCGAGACGAGCAGACTCCTTAGAAGGACAGTTTTTATAAGTACCGCTAACCTTAAAGAACTTAGTAGGCTTAGGGACAGAGATAAGCTCGTATACGTAATTAGGTCGAAGGGCGATAGCTAAGAGCTATAGGGCAGGGTACTAGCGGACGATTTAGTTGCTTATACTATAAGTTTAAAGGGCATTACGGCCTTCTTGCTTAGACTTAGGCATCGCACGCATATACTAAAGGTACATTTTAAACTCCTCCTATATTAGGTCGATAAGGAAAGGAAGATATACTCTACGAGGCTCTTATAACTAACTAAAGACTTAAGGGAAGATAGCATTGCTAGTCTAGCGAAAGCGGTCGAAGGAAGTGCCTTAGCTAAGGATACCGGTAACGAACTTACTCTAGCGATCCGTCGGCGTAAGAGCGCGAGTAACAGTACTAGTAGGGTTAAACGCGTAGAGTCCTAGAGATATCGGGGCGGTAATAGGGCGTCTAGGAAACTAGTTAGTATAGGCCTAATTAGCCTTAAGGGCAGCGAAGGCATCTTAATTAGCGACATTACGTCTAATCTCTAATAGGCGGCTAATAAGGACACTCGTCTTAGCACTAGCGTAAAGACTATAGACCTTAGCAGCCTTCTTAACATAGTTAGTACACATAGTAAACCGGTCTTTACCTAGCTTGCTAAGGTCGTCGAGCTGTTAATAGATAGATAGGGCGGTAGGAGCTTTACCTATATCGGCTTTAGGAACTATATCGATGTTAGTAATAAGGTGCGCAATAGAGTCGCCCTTGCAAGAACTATAGATATTCTTAGTTAATAGGATCGGCGAGAGGCCTCTATCTCTACGCTCGCTAAAGGAGCCTTCGGAGGAGACATCTTCTAGTAGTATATCTAATATATTAACATCCGAATTACTATAGTTAGTGCTATAGTTAGTACTATAGTCGGTACTAGAAGGAGTGCTATACTTCTTAGTAGCCTTACGGAGGGCCTAGCGAGCATATAATGCCTTCTTACGCGCTGCTTCGGCCTTAGCGCGCTCGTCTTAAACTTCTTAAGGGACCTTACGGTTGCGGGTCGAGCGACGATCTTTAGCCTATGTTTCTATAGCGAGCGCAAGACTAGTAGCCGTATCGGCCTCGGTTTCTAGGCGAAGAGCCTTACGTTTAAGGACATTAACGATAGGAGCCTCTTAACCTTTAATAATAAAGCCTGCACTATTAATACGATAGCCCTTCTCTTTTAGTAGATCCTTAGTTGTCTATACGTTAAGGTCGACCTAGACAATCGCATCGTAGTGCTTCTTCTAGTAGGCTGTCGTAAAGTCGTTAAGCGCAAAGGACAAGTTAAGTAACTACTTGCCTACCTTCTTATTAGCGGTAGACATACGATAGATTATAGTGCAGAAAAGATACTCGGCGCCTTAACGACGGACCTTATACTTATTAACGAACGAAGAGACCTACTTAGCACGCTCTTATCTACCGTAGGCGAAGTTAATAAGGCTCTTAGAAAGACTGCTTAGTCCTCCCTAATATTCGAAGGCCTAGTCGAGAGTCTTAAAGCGCAAGCGAATCTAGGTACCGGCCGTCTCGAGGCTATAGACGATAGGAAAGGCTTATTCGATATCTATATCGTTAAGGACCTCGCGCTTAAAGATACGCTTACCGATAGACTAACGCAAGTTGTTTATACTATACGTAACTAAGATAGTAGCCTTCTTAATATTCCTATTAATAACGCGTAGTAGGGTGCGAGCGTTCTAGATCTTCTCTTAAGGGTCTTTAAGGGCGGTAACGATCTAGAAGCAGTACTCGAGGCTAGTTATAGTAGCTAAGGCGCTGTCGGAGGGGGCTTCGATCGGGACTAGTACGCCTAGGTTTAGGGCTAGTAGGTTACTACTACTGCTAGCGCCTAGCGGATTTAGGGCGCTAGAAGATATCTTAGTCGACTAGACCCCGTAGTAGTTCGGTTTCCGAACTACCAAACGTATATAGTTTGGTTTCTTAGCGGCGAACTAGCTCCCTAGTTCCGGTTTAGTTTTTTCGAACTATATAGATTCCTAGTTTAAACTAGAGACTGTATTGGTTTTACTATAAGGACACTCTTATTCGACTGCCGGCTACGATTGCCGGCTATAATAGTAACTCTGTTACATTTACTACGCTCTTTTGCCGTTACTAGGGCGTAGTTGCCGTTGCTAGGGCGTAGTTGCCGTTACTAGGGCGTAGTTTTGCTATAAGGACACTCTTATTCGACTGCCGGCTACGATTGCCGGCTATAATAGTTACTAGGTTGTATTTACTACGCTTTATTACCGTTGCTAGGGCGTAGTTGCCGTTGCTAGGGCGTAGTTGCCGTTGCTAGGGCGTAGTTGCTATTACTAGGGCGTAGTTGCCGCAGTTGCGAAAGCTTACCTATATAACGTTACGTAGGCGGCAACAATTAGGGCTTCGCGATATTCTTATACTTTCAACTTCTTCCTCTATACCTATACTAACAATAACTACTATACGCTACGCCCCCGCCCCTTTCCCTTATAATAGTAAGAGAGAAGCGCGCCGCGCGCTAAATAGAAGATAGAACTAAAGACCGCGAGTTTGTTTTGCCTAAGCGTCTAACTAAAAAGCGTAAGACTAAATAGGAGTACTCTACGAAGAAGAATTCCGTACGAGACCGCGAGAGAAAGGACAAGATAGATAAGGATAAAAGAGCTAAGGATAAGAGAAGAAAGGCGCAGAATAAGGCATTCTATCGATAGCTAGCGCCTATAGAAAAAAGTGAAGGTTAGAATAAGAAGACAACCTAAGAGAAGGCTAAGAGGAGGAAAGAATTGCGGCTAGTTTTCGAGCGTAAAGTTCTAGTAGCGTAAGTCAATCTAGCTAGCGGCCGTAGCTAGCAGCTATAGCCGGCAGCCGTAGCCGGCAGCTATAGCCGGTATATTTTTCTTTAACACGTTAACTAATAGTATTTAGACCTATAGCCGCTACCTCTATCGATACGACCGATAGTAACGGAGATGTTTAGATAGCCGAGAACAACAATGCTAGAGTTTAGGATACCGCGATAGAGCTTAATGCTACGAATAAAGGAACTAAAAAAAGCGAGGAGATACTATACGTCGATCTAGTAACAGGTATAGTCTTAGGGCCTAACGCTATAGACGATAAGCGCTAGGAGTAGATCGAGCATAGTTAAAGAGACGAGATACTAGTAAAGGGCTAAGGTATAAGTCCTATTAATCTAGAAAATTATAGTTAAAGCTACTACGAAAAGCTAGTAAGGATTAGAATCGAGACTAGTCGTCTTTATATCCTTAATATAGAGTAGAAGTTTCTTTATTAGTATTAGAGCGAAGCCTTTGCGTCTATAAAGGCAAAGTGGCTTGCGATTAATACGATCGGGGCTAGGTATCTAGGGACGGCAGAAGTGTTACTATAGGAGGAAGGGGTATAGGTAATTATTCTATACTCGGTATATATAGCCGGCGTTCGTAGCCGGCAGATACTAATAGTTAAATAGAAAGCGTTTCTCGAAGGCAGAGTACTACTGCTACATAAAATCTTTACTAAGGCAGAGAGGGCTTATATCCGGAATCTAAGCTGCTAGTAGGATAGGTTGGCGTTAGAATTCTCTAAATCTCTATATAAGCCTCCGAAGGATTACCTATTTTAGCGATACGGCTTTATCTCGACTACTCCGTAGGCACCCGAAGAAGCTCGAGCGCTCTTTAAGGTCTTTACTAAGAAGCGGAAGGAGTTCGAGGATTAGGATTAGTTAATGGAGCTATTAATTAGTCTTAGGTTTCGTAGTTAGACTCGGCCTAAGCATTTGCTTGTCGAGTGTCTTATACCGAAAGAGGATAGATTAAGACTGAAAACGAGCTTAGATTCGTTAGGTATAGTAGCTCGGTTCCGTTAGTAGGAGAGAGCCGCCGTATAGAAGGCAAAATTCAGGTAGTTAGGGTAGCTAGGAAAGAAATTCTAGTAGTTAGGCTAGCTAGGGTAGCTAGGAAAAAAAATCTAGTAGTTAGGTAGCTAGGAAACAAAAAAAAAAGGTAGCTAGCTATTTACTACTTAGCTATTCCTAACGATACGATACTATAAAAGAAAGGGTGTTTCTCTATAGCTACTAGTATATATCTACTACTCCTAAGTCCTTACCTTACCGTACGAAACCTTAAAACATACCGACCGACATTGTATATATACTAGGCGCTATACTAGGAAGGGTAACAACGAGACGACAGTCGAAACAGTCTAGTATACGAGCGAGATTGCGACAACGTCGAGAGGAGGTCGTATACTTACCTTCGAGCCTATCGAGTCCTAGACTACGATTAGGGCTAGATTCATCCTCTCCGAATCCTAGTAGTAGGAATTCATTATAGGGTACTACTACCTAGTCCTTACCTTTACGGAGTCTAAGTAGAAGGTTGTTCGGAGATATAAGAACATCGAGTATTAACCCGGAAATCTTCGAAAAGGCTAGCTAGGCGTATCTTTAGAAACCCGAGTATATAGAGTAGTTTAATTAATAGGTCTATAAGATATAGTTCCCTTTATACTTACGTTCGAAGGAGTGTAAACTCCGGAAGTACTCGATACGATAGGGGAGTAAGGAGCGAACGGATACATTCTAGAAGTTCTTTATAAAGGGGGCATTGTACCGTTATACGACTTCTCGACTTAAAGGTTAACTAGTAATTGTCTATAACTTCTACGGTTCAATCTTAAAACACCCGAAACTAGGGAATAGGAACTCATCGCCTACGAACTATCTCTATTCTAAACGGTGTCGGGAATCTTAAGGAGAGAGGAGAGTTAATATAGATATAGCGTTCTAGAAAGAGGTATATCTTCTAAAATGCCGGCTACAGCTGCCGGCTATAGCTACCGGCTATAGATTCCGGCTATCTAAATCAACCGTAGAGATCTAGCTAATTATTATAGGCTACGCTTAAGGAAGCTCTAGGATTGAAGGCTACCGATTTCTCCCCCGAAGACTTTAAGCAACTAGCAAACGAAATGCTAGCTATAAACGGTCTTCCGGAAGACTTCTACGAAAGGGAGTCTATATAGAAGATATACCTATATCTTATAAACTACCCTCCCCTATTTCTCGGCGCGACAACCTAGCGTATTATATTCGAAAAGAATAAAGAGGCTACGTTAGACGATATTCGGGAGATCCTCCGTAATACTCGCCGAGTAGCTATTACTATCGATAGCTAGTTAAGCCGGACTATAAGAGCCTCCTTCCTCTCGATTATACTATACTTTATTAATTCGGATTAGAAACTCTAGGAACTTATAATCGGATTCCCTAAAATTCTAGGTTCCTATACTAGTAAGGATATAGCGAAGCTTGTCTATACGGTAATAGATAGGGTTAGCGTAACAACGAAACTAATCTCGATTACTACGGACAACGCTAGTAATAATCGAACATTGCATAAGGCGTTGTATATATAATTCACTCGCATATGTCTTTAAAATTACTAATTGTATCGATAGGGTCGAGTACGTAGAGGAGATTATAAGGTCTACAATCTAGCTTAATCTTCCGAATATTAAGCTCGCTACGATTCCGGATACGTACGACAATACGTACAATAATAACGATAAAGAGGAGCCTATTAATAGCCCTAGCCCTATTAAATCGGAGCCGACGTCGTTGCTAGTTATATCCTTATAGAAGTTTCCCTATCTCGCTTATATAGTTCAAATCGCGATCCGAGCCCTCTTTAAGACGCTTAAAATTGCACTATTAAACGACGACTAATAGAAGATCCTAGATAAGGATAAAGCAAAGTCGAAAGTCGAGAAACTTATTATAGTAATAAGACGGGATAAGGCAGAGAGCCTCGCTCTCGTTTTGTATAAGGTATAACTTTTGTCCGTAGCCGGTACCTATAGCTAGCAACCTAGTATAGTTCTAACTCTTTTTCTCTAGCTTCGTCGTCTAGTAATATATACGAACTCGAGCTTATAGAGATATAACCGATTCGAGGCTATTTAAAAGAACCTAATCGAGCGCCCTAAAACCGATACCTAGAATATCGCATAGAATAAGCGATAGTAAAAGCGGCCTCCTTAGCGCCTACTCCGTTTTACCTAAGACGTTAAGACCCGGTTCGATTCGACTTTCTATATAGTTACGAGGGGATATACTTTACGTACCGCTCTCGAGATCTATTAGAGTTCCGAGGGTATTAAGTAGCTCGGCCTTACCGCCGCCGAATAGCGCTAAGCAGAGTATCTCGTCGATATTAGTAAGCATTACGCGAAGGTTACTACTATAATTAGAAGAACCCGAGGACCGACGATCTACCTTGTCTTTGCGTACTATAACTAGCTCTTTAACGAGCTCGAGGAAACCGTAGCTAAGCTAGCTAAGAAGAGCGTTCCCTAGAAAGTAGCTATAACGAAAGCTATAGACACCTCCTATACTAAGTTGCATAAATATTATAGTGCTACCTTTAACTCGTTCGGGGATATCTATAGCGTTACGTACTTGCTTAACCCGGTAGAAAAGGATATATACTAGCAGAGGCCGGAATAGAAGGCGGACGAGGTATAGCCGAAGCATTACTAGACTATTCTAGAAAAGATGTTCTACGAGCGTCGGAAAGAAACTAGTCTAAATATAGCTCCTATAAAGAAAAAGAAGGTTTAGAAGGCTCCGATATTATACCTGTTTCGTAGGTAGGAAGTAGAGGCAGAAGAGGAAGCAACTACTAAAGTAAATAAAGAAGAGTTCGATCTCTATCGGCGCGCGAGTAAGTATAAACCCGTAGGCTCGGAAAGAGGGCTAATAATCTCTAGATCTTACCGGTCTTCTAGACGAATTCGGAGACGATATTCTCGCTATATAGTAGCGGTTAGAGCCTAAGTTTCTAACGATAGCGTCGGTCGCTCGGGACGTCCTCGCTATCCCGAGCGTAGGTATAGGCTATAAGAGGTCTTTTAGTATCGCTCGTTACTAGGGCCGCTTTAATCGAACATACTCGCCTACTACCTTCGAATCTATTATAGTATTCCGATACTATCTCCTCTACTAGAATCGCTAAGGCAGGTTACTAAAGATTATACTAAAGGAGTTAATCGAGGAATTAGAAAACCTTAAGATCGAAGAAACCTAGGAGCGCGAAGAGAATACGAAATTTAGTCTAAGCGAAACCCTAATTAGCGATAACAAAGAGGAGGAGGGCGGAGGTAGAAGGCGATACCGGGTCGAGAAGCGGAAACGTATATAGGCTTAGAGTAGCTTTAAGGAGACGAAGCGTTTATATATAAGGTAATATAGCCGGCGTATATAGCCGGTATATATCCGAAATGTGTTTCGAATTCCTAGGACCTAAACAGACTAGTTGCTATAGCAACCGACCCCGCTTACCTACGGACTATTTCTAATTCTCTATTCGCTCTTCCTCTCCTTCTTCCCTTTCCCTATATTCTTAAAGATAAACATACCTTAAGGATTCGGCTCTTCGGGCCTTCCTAAGCCGGCTGCCTCCCCTTCCTTAAGCTACTATCCTTTATTCGAATCTAACGATAACCTAATAAGGCGGTTTAATAGAAGACTATTTGTTCTAGAAGGTAAGAAGCATTAATGTCTCCTTACGATTATATGCTTATTAATTTCTAGGTCCTACCGATATGCCCTCGTCGCCTAAACGCGTAGATAAATATCTTTAGAGGCTAAAGGGCAAGGGTAAAGTAAGCTAAGTATAGGGAGACCGTAGCGAGAACGAGATATCGGAAGAGCAAGGCTCTCCGTAGTATATACGAAGGAAGGGGGTTCCTCGGAAAATAGTACCGAAAAACAAGAAGGCTATAGGTAGATAGGAGAAGGCTAAAAAGAGTAGGCGGACAAAGACTATCGCGAAGAAAAGTTATCTTTCTATTAAAAGAAAGGGAACAAGGTAGGACTCGACGATAAAGAAGCGGCGCTTTAAACTAGGTACTATTACCCTTCGCTAGATCCGGCTTTTCTAAAACAAAAGAGGGACCGAGCTTTTAATCCCTAAGACTCCCTTCTAGCGACTCGTCCGAGAAATTACATTAGATTTTCGGTCTAGTATACGATTTACGGCTAAGGCGATTAGTGCTCTTTAGGAAGCTACGGAGGCATTTCTCGTAACCGAGCTTAAGCTTTTAAACCTCCTTACTATCTATACGAAGCGGGTTACTCTTTAAAATAAAGATATATAGCTTCTAGCTAAAATTCGGCGTCGGTTTATAGCGGATTAGTTGGAAATTGTATTTAGTCGTTAGATTAACCTAGGAGGAGGCCTATTTTCGCATCGTTTTGCCGGCTATAGGTACCGGCTACATTTCTGATTTTATCTCCGCGCCGTCCCTAAATCTAAGGTACGAAGTAGAAACCTAGCGCTCTATATTTACCCGGCTATTATAGAGACGAGCTACATTTAGATTAGTTTCTTCGCATATCGCGACCTAGCGGGTAGTAAGCGAAAGGGCGATAGAACGTTTATAATACGTCTCTATTTAGACCTAAAACACAAAGGTCCTAAGGAGCCCTAGCATCCTAACTATAAGGAGATTCTTTAGCATTAGCACTTTAATCCTCTATACTGCGAGGTAGATAGTAAGCCTACGAGAGAGAAACTTTAACGAGAAATTCTCTATAATGCGTAGCGCTATTATATAGCTATAGATGCGCACTAAGTCCGGCAACTCGAAGAAGAATTAAGACAGCGTATTAGCGACCGAGGAGGAGATCGATAGTATACTAGTAGAGTCGAGGTCTTATAAGCGAAGCACAAGATAATATAGGCTCTTAGTCGTATAGAGTAACGTACTATATAAATAACTAGGCGTGCTACTCTTATTCACTTACGACCTATATCCTAGGATGCTCTTCTCGTACTTTTTATACTCTTTTCTAATACCTTACCTATAAGCGCTCCGCGATAACCGAGTAAATATAAGCTATCGGGTTTCCGCTCGGTACCTTAGCCTTCGAGATACGGCGGAGTTAATTCTCTATAATACGTAGCGCTATTGCATAGCTATAGATACGTACTAAGTCCGGCAACTCGAAGAAGAATTAAGACAGCGTATTAGCGACCGAGGAGGAGATCGATAGTATACTAGTAGAGTCGAGGTCTTATAAGCGAAGTATAAGATAATATAGGCTCTTAGTCGTATAGAGTAACGTACTATATAAATAAC